AAATAGTTGGATGGCTGTCATTTCCGATACATTCTGATCAAACTTGTTAATTCCAAATTGAAAAGAAGCCAATGAATATTCCACAAATACTTAAAATTTGCTGTTCCAGTCTTTATCCATTCTACATATATAGTTATACTTTTCTTGTTAAATGGAAAATGAAGTGGCAGCCAGATTCCAGGGCCAGTTTTGTAGACATGAAAGGCACTTGTTGTGACATAAGAACGTTGACGGGATTTGGATTTTCTTGAAAGAAACCCCACACACACACACATACACAGATAGATAGACTACTATTTTTACTGATGAATTGAATGCTTTGTGTAAACCAGCTAGCTTTTCTTTTTTTAGACTATGTTTGGACTAAGAAGAACCGTAGGATTTTGGGTATTGTTTTGGTTGATTGCCTTGGGATTGTTATGTAGGGTTGCTGCTTTCCTCTTAGTTCTTGGATATGGCTTTTCTCTGTGGCTGATGCAAAATCTAGTGGGCTCTGTTCAGGAGTCAGTGCTATGAAATAAAACTCTTTCCCTTAATTAATGAGCATTTAGGTACAAGAAATACAATGGAGATTACAAAAGTGTTGATGGGCCAATGACCATGTACCGCTAGATAGAGAGGATCTTAGGTGAATATGACTTGACACTCATGCTTTGGACTGTGACATTTCGAGGGGAGTGGGGGTGGAATTGGCATGAGAGGGTTTTAAATGAAAGGGGACTTTAAATACGTATCTCTCTCACTAAAAAAGGGAATAAACTCAAAAGCCTTTTGTTTCACACACACAAACTAGTCTACTACAATCTTCTCTGGTCGTTCTCAGTAAAGTTGCTATCTAATATCTGCTTTTCCTGTTGACTCTTCTTGCCCACTGCTGTATTTCTTTGTGTTCCTATATGGAAACCTATTCTTTCCCTACCCCTAACATTCATTAAAGTGTATTTCGTCACTTCTTTTGTTTTTATTGTATTTGTCTTTGATGTTAACTCACAAATTGTCCATCTCCCAGAAAACACCCATTTTCAGGCCATCTTCAAATGATGCACCAAATCTCTAAAATACACCAAATTTTGGTGCAAAATCTTTCCATTGTGACATCAAAATTTGCACCATTTTGTAGCAAAATAAATATAATAATTAATGAATTAATTAAAATAAGAATACAAAAAATTTAAAATATAACAAATACGATTATTTAAAGTTAATAAAAAATAATGAATTTAATATTTTCGTTAATTTAACGTAATTATTTATTTAATAATTTATGTATTTGTAAAATAAATAAAGAAAATATTTTAAAATAAATAAATTATTAAGAATAAAAAAGAAAAGAAAATGATTAAACACTTTTTATTTGGTATGAGTTTTGGCACGATAGTTGACATTAAATAATAAATTTATTTAAATACAAAGTCACGTGACTCATTTTATTGAACTTTAAAAGTGTAGAAGCATAGATGTGTGTTAGCATTATTCATTTCAATTTGGTGGATGCGTTATGTTTTTCTTTTTCTTTGTTGAATAATGTTTCGAAAATTTTGTTAATAGAGACGCAAACATATAAAAGGTATGTTTGTCTTATTGATGTCATTTAATAAATAGCCAACCATTAGATTAGATATAGCCCGCGTTGTACGAGTGTGTTTAAATTTTCAGTTTATTGTCTTTTAATATTGAGCAAACTGTAACACTACACATGTCTTCTTAGAAGAAGGTGTAACAAGCTCGTTAAATTCTAGATATAGCTATGTAGAATGATGTGTATATATTTGATAGTACTGTCATAATTAAAAACACGTCACCTCTAGTCGACTTCCCATTATACAAGACGCACGAAATTAATGCATCTTAGTATTTCTCATTGACAGAGGAACGAGACTTTCAAACGTACATGCCAAGCCTAATCTTCTTGTATGGATGGAGGAATGATTATTTAATGTCGACGTTATAGCGGTGGTTGCGAGGGTAATTCTGGCAATAAAAACACATGGAGACATGAACAGAGGATGTTACAGCCGACAAGATAAAATTGATGACAATACAAACTTTTAAGAGATTTAACAAATGGTTATTGCAATATTAATTAGTATTTTTAGGATGTTCCCTCTAGCACGTAAAGGGATGATATAAGGATGTTAATCAAGTTGAATTGAGCTAGCATGACTTAATTTTCTTTTTTTTTTTTATAGATTTTATGCGTGTCTAGAATAGGGGTGTTAAGTGAGTTGAGTCACTCGCTTGCTTGCATCGTCCCACTAGTAAACGAGACACTGCTCGTGCCCAAGACGAGTTATAGATGCATGATGAGCAACAAAATACTTTGTGAGAGTCATTGTCATCTCGCACGAGTTGGCTCTTAAAAATTAAGCAAAATGCAAATTTCACTAAAAAAAAAATAAAAAAATCTAAGAGCCATTCGCCGTTTGAGGCTCATCCTAGGCGAGTTGATGGGGCAAGTCGAGCTCACACATGGCAAAACGAGCTAGCTTGCTTGGTGGGTCAAGTCAAGCCTGATGATAGTCGAGTTGCGGTTCGATTTGATGCATTTAACACCCCTAACTTAATATGCATAAATTGGTTCATATCAATTTTAAATTTTTTTATTATTATTAACCTTCACTTCTTATGCTACCTTTACACATTTCAGACAACTGATCTTGTACAATAGTGTCAATACTATATATCAAACTTATCACGAGGTTATATGAATCTAATATTGTGTATCGGTCTCGAAGAGCATGATGCTCTTAGTTTGGTAATGAGCTTAAACAATTAATGAAAGTTCTATTAAAGTCGACAAAGAAGAAACAAGGAGGAACCCACCAACTCTTTTCATCTGCTTAATCCCCCACAAAGGAAGGTGAAAATGAAATACGGACACCACTCATCTCTTGGCTATTCTATTTTCGGCCAAACTGCAATTGGCTCTTGGTATGGGGATATGAATTTACTCATTATTAGCACTATAAACACAAAGGGGTCCCCAGTCTACATTTCTTTCACCATCTTCTTCCCAACTAAAATCATTTCCATTCTCATGTCTATTCTGCATTACCAACTTTCTATCATGCAAAATTTATGCCATATATACTTAAGATGACTCATTCGTGTACCTTTTGAAAGAAATTCAAAATAATATATACACAATTTTAATTTGTGTGCTTTTATGTGTTTCATGCAATAGTAATACAATTTCACATAATGCTCCACAATGTTAAAGAAGAAAGTTACAGTCTCATTAGTTTTATTATTTCGTTTAGGGGCGGAGCCAGCATCTACTGAGTCCCCATGGCCGTTTGTGTAGGCTCCTCCAAAAAATTTGTCATTTGACGATCTTTCATGCTGACCTAAATTTTTGAATCCGTATTTAATGTCCCATTCAAAAACATCTTTAAACGGTACAGTGTCTGTCCTTACCCTAATACTTTCAAGAAAGCACCACAAGCATGCATCCAGTCAAACTACTTCCCTTTGTTACATACATAAATGTACTGAATGTAGACACTTTTTGCAAGAACTTTGTCTAGAGAGGCAGGCAGGATCCAGACGGCACCGTATAGTCTTGTCCACAAATTCTGCAGTATCCAATGGCAGCTGTATATACAGTAGCAGTAGATACCTGTATCCCAGCGGCTAAGTTCAACTAGGTCCACTACGCAGGGCTATTTGTATATATATTGAAGTGACTAAAGGACAGTTTGTCTTCGGCCCGTGATATTATAGCTAAACTTTTGTGGTGTAGGGTATTTTAAGAAATTTGAGAAACCAATATGTCCAAAAAAATGATACTAAACCCCTCACGAAACCTATTTTGAAAAATATTAAGATTCGTTTGGTTACAAATATAGAATTTGGATGAAAAGAAAAAAAATTTTAAGGAATTAAATTACTTAGAAATTATTTTCTTGGGAATTATAAATTTTATTGTGTTTAATTGGTATGATTTTTCATGGGGAAAATGTTGAAATAAAAGTACTTTTTTGGTGTTCTTTTGACTTTATTTTACATAAAAATTGTCAATTAAAGGGATAAAATTTACTGGTATTGGAAATGTAATTTATTTCTATTGCAAAAAATTAATAAAAACAAAAAAAAATTAATTAAAATCATCTATCGTTTAGTGTTTGTTTGATTTTATTTTACATGAAAATTGTCGATTAAAGGAAAATATTTTTTTTATAATTAGAGGTAGAATTTTTTTCCATTACCGGAAGAAAAAAAACATCGATAGTGCTTGAAAAATCAATTCCCACCTATTCCACAAAACCAAGAAATAGTCTACATGGCTGAAAAAAAGCAAGAAAATCTATTCCCTAGAAAATAATGCTATCAAACATGCAATTTGTGAAACTTGAAATTGGAATTCCTAATTCCATGGAAAACTTTGGCCAATCAAACATGGCCTTAGTAGAAAGTGAGTTTTTTTTTGGAAAAAAGTGTGTTAAAACTTGAAGTGTTTCCACAATTTTGGGCCTATTTACTATGCATGTTATTTTATATTTCTGTCCTTATGAGAAAAAAAACTCATGAAAAGCACCATTCATATTGGCTTTATGAGAAAAAAAATAATATAACAAAAAAAAAAAAACTCATGAAAAGCACCATTCATATTGCTTTTTTGAATTGAAAATGTTAAATAAATAAGAAAAACTCTAAAATGTGTTCATTGTGTTTGGTGGGGATTAAAATTAGATTTTGATAGAAGTTTTTCAAATGTGTAGTTAAAAAGTAATGAAACCTATGAAAGATGTTGTTAATATTGATTGTTTGACTTTAACTAAAATTAAAATATGAACCAAACAAGTAATTAATCACAACCACGTGAAGAATGGTAGCCATGCATGTGCCAATTGATTGTGGCATCATATCGAGTTAATAATGCCACACCATATTAAATTCTTTAAATTCAATAAATTGATGGAGAAAAAGAGTGAGTTACCAATTACAACTTACAACTTACTACAAATGTTGTATATCACTCATTATTAGTATAATTATTGCTTCTGCCTACTACATGACAGCGAGTTTTTCTGGGAATGATGTTTTTTATTTGGTTAAGGCTATGGACCCTCATGAGTCAAAGGATTATTTGTGGTGGGATTTTAGTGTAAGCGTTCGGATTTAAGTTAAAACTGTATAGTAGACGAGATTTCAAAGCTGTTTAATACTGTCGTATAAACATTAGATTAGGTTGTAATGTGAGTAAAAAGGGAAAAGAAAAGGAAAAGGGAGGCACGGCAGAGGAGGAGCGGAGGAAAAGCAAAAGAAAATGTCTTTCTCAAACACGGATCCCTATGGAATGCAGGAAGAATGCCCAGCATTGCTTGCTGGAACTTATTCTTTTTGTTTTGTTTAAAGTGCTTTGCTTTGTTTTCTTTAGAAATCTTTTCAGAGAGAGTGAGGAGGAGAAAGCAAAAGAAAGAGACAATAGATCCACCGGTCACTAGAGGATACGCTTTAGCCAGATTTTGGCTTAGATTTCATTCTACTTAAGACTGCACCTGCAAAACAAAAATGGAGGGAACTAAGCAACAGAGCGAGCTCACATGATTAGTTTAATAGTTTCCCAATGATTGACTTCCTTTGAAAAATATTGCCAAGGATTTATTATTATTTTTTTTTTCCCTCAAAAGTGTGAAAGGAGATACGTAGAGGAAAATGAAGTCCATGAGTAATGAAAATAACAGCAACCAAAATAATAACTGGTTGGGTTTCTCTCTTTCTAGTCAAATGGAGGCTTCTTCGGATCATCATCAAACTCAATCTTGTTCTAACACAGTCTCAAATTCAATCCCCTCAAGCTTTTCCTCTAGTTTTAACTATCCAGGAATTTATTATGGGGAAAATACTGGGTTTTACTCTCCTTTAACTGTGATGCCACTGAAGTCTGATGGATCATTGTGCATTATAGAAGGCAACAGGACACAGCCACAAGGTTAAAACTCAAAACTGCTAATTTATTTTACTTGTTTCTTAATTTCTTTTTCTTGCTAATTTTGATTTTGTGGAATATATTCTCTTTGACTTAATGCTGCGAAGGTATAGTAACTTCAACTCCTAAAGTGGCGGATTTCTTTGGCGGTGCAACAATGGGGACCCATCATTATGAAGGCTGTGACAGAGGATGTATGGCTCTCAGTCTAGACAGTATGTATTATCACCAAACCCCGGATAATCAGGCCAACAATGGCCAAGATTTTCTAAATTCTTTCCAAGAGAACTCCAGGCAGCAGCAAATTCATGTTCAGGAATATCCACATTACTCTGCATTTAGAGGGCCTGATTTGTACCAACAGGCACCCCAAGAGGAGCCTAAAGAAACTTGCAATCTTCACCTCCCAACAATGGCTGATGGTGAAATGAGAAACTGGGTATCAAGAAATTATCCTAATGGGCATGCATTGGAGCAGAAGATGGGCATTTGCCTGGATGATAATGGGGGAGAATCTGGTCCAAATTGTGTAATGGGTTATGGGGATTTGCAGTCTTTAAGCTTGTCCATGAGCCCAGGTACGCAATCTAGCTGTATTACTGGTTCACAACACATTGCACCTGCTATTGGCTTGGAAAATAAGAAAAGGGATTCTGAGAAGGTTGCTCAGAAGCAGATTGTTCATAGGAAGTCCATAGATACATTTGGGCAAAGGACTTCACAGTATAGAGGAGTCACAAGGTTAATTCATTTTTTTTTACTTATTTACAGCTTTTCTTTTTTGTTCCTTGTGTTTTCACCTGATGTTCTTAAACTGGTGCACTCTTTGCTTGTGATATATAGCATGTTTTGCATTTTAGTTTTTCCGAATATATTGTCTTGGCTTATTAATTTTAAGACATCTTGGTTTGTGAATCTTTTTGTCACCAGGCACAGATGGACAGGTAGATATGAAGCCCATCTATGGGACAACAGTTGCAAGAAAGAAGGTCAAAGCAGGAAAGGAAGGCAAGGTTAGTGAAGAAAACACAATCTATTTTCATACTATTGGTTGATCAAACGAGATTAAAATTTTGTCACTAATCTTTGATGTGATTTCTTTTTCATGATCTTGGTTCTTTGGGACAACATTGTAATCTATGAAACCTTTTTCCAGTTTATCTAGGTAATTTCTTCCTGGTTTCGTCTCAGTTTTTTGTTCCACAGTTGCCTTAAAATTAGTATGTTATGAGCATAGTTTTTATTCTATTGTGCACTTTTGTGATCTATGAATGTCAAATTTAGGGGGCTATGATATGGAAGAAAAGGCTGCAAGGGCTTATGATTTGGCAGCACTTAAATACTGGGGACCTTCAACCCATATCAATTTTCCGGTAGTGGTTTTAACTTCACGTCGCTAAATGTATTGATCTATTATTAAAGGGGTTGAAATATGATCCTCTGATGTTGATACAGTTGGAAAATTATCATCAAGAACTTGAAGAAATGAAGAACATGACCAGACAGGAATATGTTGCTCACTTGAGAAGGTTGCACTTTGACACCCTTAGCAGTTTTACAAATTCTTCCCTTTACTTTTTCCATTTGTTTTCAACAAACGAATACTGTCAATATTGTAGGAAAAGCAGTGGCTTCTCGAGGGGAGCTTCAATTTATAGAGGAGTCACAAGGTCTTAATATACTTCCTTATTTCAACTTAAGGCCTTCCAGTTAATAATGATGTTTTCCTCCACTCCACTGAAGTTTTGGTTTTGGCTTTTTTCTTTAGCAGACATCATCAACACGGACGTTGGCAAGCTCGGATTGGCCGAGTTGCTGGAAACAAGGACCTCTATCTAGGGACATTTAGTAAGTTGTTTCAATCTTTAGATATAATATATGTGGGAATTGCTTTCTATTTTATGGTTTAAACTGATTCTTAGCATATATATCCTATGAAATTATCTCCAAATGTGAAGGAGCCTGTAAGATTTTGTTTTTCTACACCGCTTAATCAATCCATGCTGAAATTCTTAAATCTGTGTCCTTACCAGGAATAAGCATGTTTGTAGTCGCTATATTCTATAAATCACTTGCTATAGAAAAAAAACTGTTTTTGTTTTTAATAACCATTTTAATTATATTTTAGGTACTCAAGAAGAAGCTGCTGAGGCATACGACGTAGCAGCTATAAAATTTCGAGGGGTTAATGCAGTGACCAACTTCGACATCTCAAGATATGATGTAGAGCGGATTATGGCAAGCAGTACCCTGCTTTCAGGGGAAATGGCTAAACGAAACAAGGACATGGATTCAAGCAACAAGATCCCATATAGCAATCCTAATCATGACCATCATTTGGAAGTTGCAAATGCCTCGAAGGAGGATACTAGCAATTTGCCTGACTGGAAAATGGCACTCTATCAGAAACCAGGTGGAGTAGATGATTTTGGAAGTGCATCTTACTCTATCGGCGTAAATGGTATGATTGGGATCGAGGCAATGAGCTCTACTCAGCATGATGTGGATGAACATGGAAAAATGGTGAGTCACTTGTCAAGTGCTTCTTCACTGGTGAACGACTCTAGAGAAGGCAGCCCAGACAAAAGCAGTGGCCTTCCTTTGCATATTTCAATGCCTCCACCAGCATCCAACTTTTTTACAAGTTCAACAAGTAGTGTGAATTCATGGATTTCAACAGCCCAGATGAAGTCTCAAGTGCCACTTTTTGCTGCATGGACAGATGCATCCTAAAATATTCTCTGTGAAGTCTTTTGGTAATGGAACCTATAACTGGTTTCAATTTTCAAGTTGTTTTTTTTCTCTTCTCCCCCGAATTATTGACTAAATCTATGGGGCAGCCTTAATAGTTATGATGGTTTGGGGTTTTCTGTGCAATGGTTTCTTACTCTGTCCCCAATAGCAAATGAGCAAGTAATGTTATGTTCATCATGTTTCTTTTATCCCCATATCATCATTTCCAAGTTTTTGGATCCATGTATTTCCCAGTTTCCACATTTAGTGAAGCTTTCTCAGTGCAATAACTGCTTAAAGTAATTAATGCAGACAGCTCTATCTAATTCAGAATGCTTAACGTAATCCAGACTGTCATCAAATATTATAGCAGTCATTAGTTTGAGAAAATGTATAGGTGAAATAGCACAAAAGAGTTGAAATTATTATGTGAAAACTAAAGGCATCTTCAAGATTTGCCTGCCAATACACATGGTATGTTCAGTTTGTCATTGCCTCATTATTACAAGAAGTTCAAGGACGTTTTCACATCTGGGCATCATTGCATTTTACATTGTCAGTTGTCTTCATGATATGTTCATTGTCTACCTGTCCCTTTCCATGAAGAAAGAAAGTTGAATGCAATAATATCAACCTTGAAAAACATAGCCAGTTACATGCAAATAGTGCCCTTCAACTTGATTCTTGAGCTAATTGGCGGTGTCAAGATTGTTAACAGCTGGTTTATGGCTTAAATAATCAGTAAGTACATTAAAGATGTCATCATATATTGGTGTAATTAGTAATTACAAGTTCCATGCTTAGAGTATCGTGGTGTATTATCTATTACGCTTGCTAGCCTATGTGAGTGGAGGCTACCTCGAGGGCCTATGTGACCTCGGAGGTCCAAGTGGACAATCCGTTACAATGCTTATTGAAAAGCGATTTACGGCCAAAGATAAATTAGTATAAATCAAAAGAAAATAGTCGACTTATGTCTCACAATAATTTTGATTAACAGAAAAAATCTACTTTTTATAAAATTCAAGAAAACAGTGGTAGTGAAGATCAGCCACATTGTAATCTAGCTGGAAAGGTCGAAGATCAGCCATATAATCAAAGGAAGGCATGATTGGTCAAAAGAAAGATTTATTGTGGAAAAACTAAGAGAAATTATCTTTGTTGAGGAAAAGTCTAAGACAATGTTACCTATACGGCAATTATTATGTCTCAATTAATTTCCGTAACACCAACTTTTTTCGGTTAATTGAATAATAATAATAATAATAATTCTCGATAATTCTAAATGAGATAAATATTTGTAATTTGTCTCGTCAAATCGTATCAATTATGTTAGGTCAAAGGTAGTTGTTAACATAGCTTATAGTTGTGCCGGAACCTAACTATTGTAGCACGCTTGGAGAAAATTTCTTCATTATGAAAGGCAAACTTTTAAGATTTGGCAATTAAAGATGTTTCGTACGGCGTTAATTCATCTTGTCATATTAATTTTACCGACAGTTGGACGGATGCCATCCCTAAGATTTTTCAATTTGTTAAGTTTTTGAGAGGATTAAGGATTATTTGGTAAAATTTTTGAAATGTTAAAAATTACTTTTAAAATTAAGAAGCTATTTTAAATCCTTTTAAATAATTTTTGAAAGTATATTATCTGATTAGAAGAGTTTTAAGAGGAAACCGACCTAAGATAACTTTTTCTTTAATTTTTTTTTTTTACAAAAAGTTTACGTCTTGTTAAATGAGCCTGAATTGTTTGTTTTTCCTTTTCTTTTTATATTTATTGGTGGTATTTATGATTTAGTTAAACACATAGTTATGAATAATTGTGTGCATATGATGAAAAATTAATATTAAAATTATAAAGTATGCATTAAGACAAAGATCTTCCGGGATTTATGGTTGTATGTTTAGTTCAATTATTATTCCATCAATAAAAAAATAAATTGACAAATATTTCAAATGTTAGGGAGAAATCAATCTTAATCAACTTCTACAATTTGCTTCCGACCAAAAAGTGTACTTTTTGGTACCATACCTAATACTGACGACTCCTGTCCACATGCAAATAGAAAAAATTTCAACCCTAATTTTGATCCAATATTTTGCGATTATATCAATTACATAAGTATTTTTTTTAATGCTTTGTACACTTGTAGTCGTTCATATAATTTTCAAAATTTCTTTATTAACAAAGTTTTATAACAATATAAACTTCTATGTTGATTATATTTTCAAGTAGTGTGTACATTCGTAAATACTAAATAGTTAATGTTGGTGTCGATCTAAAAATTCACATATGATCAATTAAATGAATCTTAACTTGGTTATAAAAGTCTTTTTACCAAAGAGGCCAAACAGGTCAGTACGAAAATTTGACTCAATCACATCAATGCATTTGAATTTATGGGAGACAGAGGAAAACATCATGACATGACAGAAAGGACGTTTTTGGTGACAGCACTGTTCACGGCAACCAATCGAAAGAAAGCCAGATCACCTAAGATGCAAGTTGAGGGCCCAAGTATATACCATGGCAGCTAAACACTCTAGTCAGCCAAATCTCTTCAAAACATGGGTGACAAATGGACCTTGGTTTGACATTGTAGTAACACCACTTGGGCAACAACTGGATACTAATGGCCTAAATAATAGAGTGAAAGTCCAATGAAAAGGGCTGAACTGAATAAACTCTGTAAACACTACTATACAAAATAATACCAATATTGCAACCTTTTTCCAAATTTCCAACTACAAAGCATTGCTATTTTGCTTAATTTCATAAATTGATCGAAAAGTGCTACGTCATTTTTATCATCAACAGTCTGAAACCCTCGCTCATCCTCTTAGCTCAATCATTATATATTTATCTTGAAGAAATAAGTGAATTTTACATACGAGAAATTATGCGGAAAAAAAAAAATTCTCTTTGTAGAGTTATTGAGTAAAATCGGGCACTCAAACTGGGTCAATGAATATGGGTAATATGGGCTTACCCAAACTTTATACCTCAGAGTGCCAGCGTATTGATCTTCACAGCCAATTAGACGTTTTTAAACAGAAGAAACCATGTCGGACTGGGCCAAACCAGCCAACTTTTTGAGCTATATCATTTTTCCTGACACGACGCTAAGGCCCTATTTTATGTAAAAAAGTGACTTAAATAAAATGAATTTTGTAACACTAATTTTATAAAGAATGTATGATTACGAAAAAAAAATTGAATTTACATATAAATATTTTTTGAGAAAATGTATGGTTAAAAATAAGTTTGAGAAATATATTATTTTTCAAAAAAAAGGGCTAAAACGAGGATTAAGAATCCCAATAATCTTGAAAAGTCAAAAGCTGTTTTTGAGATTAAAAATTTATTGATCAATCTGTTTGATCTTTTTTGGAAATATCTTGTCAGGTTAGTAGAACTTTTAAAAGAAATTAAACTAAGGTTAAAAATTCCTTTACAAGAAGTATAATCACATCAAATGGACGCTAATAAGTCTTTAATAAGTTAAACTCAATTGCATAATTATATGAACATCACAATCACAATATACAAAATTTGACTCCAAAATTAAATATATTCATCCTAGCAAAGGGAACTGAAGATTAGAATTTCAAAAAAAATTAAGATTTTGAAAGTGTTAAATAATTCAGGAATGTATAGTTGTTTTCAAACATTCAAACTATTAAAACCAAAATCTTAAATATTTGAATGAAATTTGTCAATGATACTCAAACCCCATTTGTGCTACTGTTTCGCGCGGGTTAAGTCGCTAACAATTAAAAAGGATAAGACGATTGTGTAAGGGACGAAACCTCTTGAGACAAAGTCCCAAAAAGGGGTATTCTTTTATTGGCGATGAACTTTACAATTGGGAATGAAAAACAACGTGCCTCCAAGGGGCGCAAGCACACGAGTTACAGAAAGAAAAATGTTTAAGTCTAAAAGTTAAGGAAATGAAAATTACATATTCTCTGTTCGAGAGTTTTGGATTCGGTCCCTTGCTTCTGCGTCCTTTCTTCCTTTTATACCTCATAGACGATCTCTTTGTGATTAACTACCCTAAAAACTGCTTGATCGTCCTATAACTATCCACTTTCTTTGTAGTGGCCATTTTGTCATGAAACTGCCTTTTAACTGCTGCCATTATCTTTCGTCGTTCAATTGCTTTCGATTGAATTCCTTGAGTCGTGGAACGTGATAAGGCTACTTTAACAACTGCCTTGATAACTGCATTCCTTGATAACGACGATGCGTTATATTTGTTGATACCTTGGGCGACTTGAAGGTTTGGGCGAGAGTAAAATAACAGCTCTGGGCGACCGTATGACACTCCATTCGTTCAGATTCTGGGCGACTTGCAAACTTGGGCGATGGCGTTACCGCATTCTTGGGCCCCTTATTTGGGCCTTCACCTTGATTCGTTCGATTGGACTTCGTTCTTTGGGCTATCCGATTTGGGGATCCTTCAATTGGGCTTTACTCCTTGGGCTGTTCGATTTGGGCTGAATTTTTATGTGTCAACAGCTACAATTTGTAGTTTCACAAATTATTCTGAAATCTGTCAAGGATCGTGGAAAATTCGCTTCTACATCTCAAGCAAAATTCTTGGGTTTCGCATTTTGAAGTTTTGCTTTCTACAATGTTATTCTTTGTCTTCATTTGCATAAAATAATTAATGATTACTCATAGATAGGTTTTTATTTTTACATTTTTAAGTGTTACAGAAATCCTTTTTTTCTTTTTTTTTTTTTTTTTTTTTTTTTTTTGGTCAGCTAATACTCAAACCCTCCACAATATTCTAACTTACAGTCTTCGATTGAGTGTTTAATACTTATTTCCTAATTTGTTTTTTGTTGTAGTTCTTTTCTTGAATTGAAAGTTAAGAGCATGGATAAAAACCCACTGGATTTTTCATATTTTGTGATATTCGTACACGGGAGAATTTCTTGTAATGACAATGGTTTCAGGGGTTAGTGAGTCAGAAGAGCCCGTATGTTCCATTGGCAATCCAAATCCGCTAGTTTACTTGGTGCAGAACAAGGAAAGCCGAACAACTTCAGTTGCTTATTGTGATCTGATCAATAGAAGCTACTACACTGATGTGCCAGAAAATCGAGTTTTGTGCATCAGTTGGTTGGTGCTGTTGTTGAGCTAGATCCTAAATTTATTGATTTTGGCAGTGGAAGTGTCTTGAAGGATAGCAGCTCGCTGTATCAGAACAACACTCTTCAGAGTGGTGATTCTGTTGATCTGTCCAATTGCTCCTCGGTGGGAAGGGGTCAAGAAGCAAGGTTTAGATCTT